TCTGGAACTGGAGTTATAAATTTGGGAGTTCTCAGCATATACATAGATGTATTTATAGCTATGAGATGGGTGAGGTCACAAGGAAGATGACATGAAGGCGTAGGCTATCTTAAGAGGGAGGAAAGATGAAGAGGAACTGGAAAATGAAACTGAGAAAGAATAGCATCGAGCTGGGAAGGGACAAAAACAAAACACAGGTGAGTGCAGTGTGGTGCTTGGGAAGCCACAGAAAGAGTGAGGGTCCCAGAGGGCAGGGGAGTAGCTGGTGGGGGACTGTGGACAGTTGTGAAGTGAAACCCAAGGCTGGACCCTGGACTTGTCAGTGGGAGTGGCATCGGTGGCTCTAAGGAGAAGTGTTTTGCAAGGGTGATGCCCTTCCATACACTGATTAGGCACAGTTCTAGAGGGATGAGAAGGGGAGGATTTAAAGGCATAATATGTAGTAACAACTGTTGGAAGCTGCAGCAGGGACAGCGGTATGGTGAGGTCTGGTTTAGTTTGTTTATATTTTAGATCTGGTTTAGTTTTTAAATTGAGGGAAATAGGGGCCTGGGGAGATGGCTCAGTGGAATAAGCGCTTCCCTGGCAAGCGCAAGGGCCTGAGTTCAATCCCCGGTTCCGCAAATAAATAAATAAATAAATAAATAAATAAATTGAGGGAAATAACAGTTTGGGGAACTATTTTGTCTTACTCTCATAAGTTGGTTTGTTTTGTTTTGTTTTGTTTTGTTTTGTTTTGTGGAACTGGGGATTGAACTCAGGCCCTTGCACTTGCCAGGCAAGTGGTTATTCTACTGAGCCATCTCCACTGCTCCTATTTTGGCTTAATTTATTCAGCCTGCTGTAACAAAATTCTATACATTGGGTGGCTTGAAAGTTGACTTCTCATAGTTGCGGAGGCTGGGAAGGCCAGTATCGATGGCATTAGCTGATCAATGTCCAGTCCTCATAGATGGCATCCTCTGTGTCTCTATGTGAGAGACAGGAAAGGAGGTTCTGGGGCCACTTTGGGAAGGCACTGATGTCCCTCGTGCAGCCTCTATGGTTGTGACCCAGTCACCTCCCAAAGGCCCCACTTCACAGCACGGAGGACTAACTTTCAACATGTGGGTTTTCCCTGAATCTAAAGCAAGCACTTCAGAAGAGGGTGCAAGTTGATGATGTGCAGTAAGGGGAAACATTTGCAGGAGGGAGCAGGTCTTCCGGTGTGTGCGAGGGGATCTGTGTTGCTTAGGGGGAGGAGTGGGGAGAGGATGGGACAGTGGACAGTTCACCCTCACTCTCAGGAGGGAGGTGAGAGTTCATGGGTCCAGGCGTGGGTGACTGGGCAGCTGCAGTCGTGGGAAGCGAACCTGTGATTACCTCTGTTTTCCCACGGGGAGCACAGTAACTGAGATTAGTCATCTGGATGGAAGCATTGGGTTTAAACCCTCCGAGCATGAAAGAGGGTACTCCTCCCTTACTTTTCTGAATTTTTACGTTAGTATAATAATAACCAGCCTTGTTGCTCAGTACCTTTCCCTGAGGGACACAGGAAGCAACCTGTGTGTTTACCCACTTGGTATAATGGAAGGCAAGGCGCATGCCTGCACAACACGAGCGGCCAACCAGGGTTTACACTCATGTCATGCTCCATTGAACAGTTTTACCGTGTGTTTTTCTGAGCATCACAGGTGTAGTACACCCATGCCACTCTAGGATTTGTTTTTTAAAAAGCTTGCTTCTGGTTTTTCTGGTGGAAGTAGCCCAGGTCAGTACAATAGTATATGGAAAACCAGTCTGCATGTTTCGGAGGAGGCCAGAGGTGAATCCCCAGCTCACTCATGCACGCATGCTGCAGAGGATCCATTATGCTGAAATGCGTGTTTTCATAACAGAAGGGCGGCGTGGGTGACGATGGTGACATATGTGCTATCAGTGTGAGTGATACTTGTGCGTGGAACATGCACTTGTCCTGTGTGGAGACTGCACTGGGTGAGACAGGCAAAGCAGAGATTATTATTTTTATTGTTCTGTCTTTTTGAGACAGTCTCTCTCGAGCCTTGAACTTACCGTGTAGCTCAGGCTGGCCTGAAACTCAGGAGTCCTCCTGCCACAGCCTCTTGAGCGCTTGAGTGCTAGCATGCCTGGCTAGCAAAGACTGTTTTTCTTGTAGAGTTCTATTGGTGTTTTCCTCCTAGCTTACATAGGCTTTTATTTCTCATGTTATCTCTTAGGTTTTGTAAGCAAGCACACAGCTGATGTGAAAATGTTTATGTGTATTCTAATCACTCATTGCACATTTGACATTTTATTGACACTTCATTTTATTAGGTGCGATAATTGAAATAAAAGTTTTTGTAGAATGCTATTGTATTGGGAGCATCGTTGTAGCTCACATAGTAATTTACTGCTTTATCTTTTAGGTTTTGTAGGCAAGTACACAGCTGATGTGAAAATGTCGATGTGTATTCCAAACGCACAGTACATCTTAAGATTTTAATACTTTATTTTATTGGGGCCGGGGAGATGGCTCAGTGGAATAAGCGCTTCCCTGGCAAGCGCAAGGGCCTGAGTTCAATCCCCGGTTCTGCCAAATAAATAAATAAATAATACTTTATTTTATTGATACTTCATGTTTCTGTTAACTACACGTTGCATAATATAAGGACCTCCTAATAAAACAGCAAGACCAGCCAACACTAACCATGTTGTTAGTGTATGTGATATGTGTATATGGCATGTGCCAGTGTCATGTGTGCCTTAGGGTGATGATTGAAGTAAAGATTATTTTCTTGTAGCATGCTTGGTATTCTCATTTGGTTCCTGTAGGAATTTTCTTTTTCTTTTTCTTTTTTTTTTGCAGAACTGGGGATTGAACTCAGGCCCTTGTGCATGCCAGGGAAGCGCTTATTCTACTGAGCCATCTCCCTGGCCCCTGTGTTGTTATTTTTCTTACTACACAGCTCAGACTTGTAGTGATCCTCCTGCTTTCTGCCTTCCCAGTGCTGGGATTACAGGCATGCACCAGCATGCCCAGACTCCATCACGGCTCAGTGCGCCTGGAGGTGGGGCTGGCACGGCATGCAGTGCCAGTGATTGAACCCTGGCTCCTGCGCTTACCTAAGCATTACCTAAGCAAGTACTTAGTGCACTGAGCTATACCACCGGCCCTTCAGTGTTTAATGAAATTAAAATTAATTCATCAGTAGAAATATTCTACAGAATAAATGGTATGGCATGCCCATTCATTTGCTGGGAAATGACAATATGTGCACTAGGCTCCAAGGGTTTTTTGCGAACTGGAGATTGAACTCAGGCTCTTACACTTGCCAGTCAAGCGCTTATCCTACTGAGCTATCTCCCCAGCCCCGGCTCCAAGGGTTTCAAGAAGAGAAATGAAGTAGTGAACCTGGGTCACCAGGACAGTGTGCAGACTGGGGAGTGTGTTCTGGCTGCACAGTCCCTGTCTTGTGACCTTTTCAAGGGCGTGGTCACAAGTTAAAGTGAAAGAGTGGTTTGTGGGTTATGATTTTCTCCTGCAGAGAGACAGGAATGGGACAATGGAGGGCAGGGTCTAGCCACTATTGGAGTTCTGCCTGTCTCTTGTGACTGGTGAAAGAGGGACAGTGGGTTCAGGGTGGATGCAGGCTAGTGCTTAGGATAGGATAAGGGATGGGTATTTGAAGCACATAAGAAAGAAGTGAGAGCGTGGTGGTGGTGAAGCTCCTAGGATTGGTGCCTCGTAGGTTCTAGCGGGGCCGGAAGTTTGCTGGAGTCAGGGAAGCAGAGGAGCTGAGCTGAAAAGGCAAGGCTAGGTGCCCAGGCGAGGTGGCAGGGTGGGGTGCTCTGCCAGTGGCTAGAGAGGTTGCTCTAGATAAGTCCACTTTTCCCTTTGCTGAGACAACAGACCTGACACCCAGAGTTAAGCAAGGAAATCCTTATTTACTTCACGGTCTGTAGACGATCCAGTTCACAATCGGTTGTCTCCTGTGCAGGGTGGCGTGCAGACAGGCATCGCTGGGGGGGAGCAGATGGTGACAGGCAGAAGCAACAGAGCAAGCAAGGGAGTCTAGCAGGTTTTTTTCTGTCCCTTTTATGTTCTCTTTGGGTTACTGAGGTTGCCACTCAGAAGACTGACTTAGTAATCACTCACCCTTAACCCTAGCATTGCACCATGGGTTGGTCACACACTCTAAAGCCAGCTGCCTCTGCAGAGCCCCATCTGTGATTCCCTGAGGCTTGGGGTGTGGTGGGCATCCAGACTTGAGCCCTAGCAGAGGGCTAGGAAAGGGAGGCAGATAATGAAGAGCCAGAAGTGAGGCAGAAGTGTGTGAAGCAGTAAATGCTCTGGATGTGGGGCTCGTGACCTAAGGGTCAGTACATGATGCCTGGAGGGCTTCCGGGTGCAACAGCCTCCTGCTGAGGATTTTCACAGAGAGGAAGAAAACGGTCAAGTGTGGCAGGGAAGAGACTAGGAGTGCACCTGCTCCTCTTTGGGCCCGGGACTCCAGGGTTAGGGGAGAGAAATTCCCTTTGCTTCTGTAGGGAAGTGACGTCCCTAGGTGAGCCCTGACTCAGTGAGAGCAAGAAGGGAAGTGAAGATGTGGGAGGACCATGTCTCGGGGTGACTTTCCGGGGTCGGAAAGTAGAAGAAGACAGAGCAGGGAGTGTTGAGCTCTCAGAGGAATTCGGGTGTGGAAGGAGGGAAACACACAGTAAGCAGCGAAAGAGCATACTCACACTGTCCTCTTCTCAAGACAGACGTGGAGCTGGAGCTGGGCATGGTGGCACACATGGAACCCCAGCACTCCAGAGGCTGAGGCAGGAGGATTATTGAGTTTGAAGCCAGCTTCGGCTACATAAGTGAGTTTAAGGACAGCCTAGACCACATAGCGAGACCTTGACAAAAAATCTAACAAAAACCCAAGGCAGATGGAGGGGTTGGAGGGAGCTGGGAATAAGTGCACAGAGCCTTAGATATCTTTTCTAACTTTGTCCCATTCATTTTTGATTTACAGATCACTAGTAATTATTAGCACTTTAGATGGACGAATCGCTGCCTTGGATGCTGAGAACCGTGGCAAGAAACAATGGGACTTGGACGTGGGATCTGGCTCGCTGGTTTCATCCAGCCTTAGCAAGCCAGAGGTAAGAACTCTCTGCTAAATGTTGTCTAGAAAACTGAGCCATAATCAACAGTTGCTGATCAGTGTGCTGATAAAACTTGGGCTCAGGGCCCAGTTGCCTGGGATTTGAGGACCCTCTGCCTCTTTGCAGCTCTAGCCCCTGGGGACAGTTACGCAGCTTTCAGTCTTTCAGCTCCCCTCCAGTAAAATAGAGTGGTTAAGAGCACCCACTTCTTAGGATTATCTTGGACCTTAATGAATTAGTCATGTAAGTGAATAACTAGGAATACTATTTGCTCTGTCAGTGTAGCATGTCACCTGATCTACAACATGATCATCACTTTGTTATCACATGATCCCTAGAAATAATCAGGCAAATATACACTGAGTTTTACTAGAGATTCAAGCTGCAACACACCATACATTAACATACCCTACATTGTCTCTCAAGTACATCCTAATTGTGAGCTTAGTGTACCGTGAATTTTCTTTTTCTTTTTAAATAAAGTGTTCAGGGTTTTTGTTTGTTTGTTTTGTTTTTTGTGGTACTGGGGATTGAACTCAGGACCCTGTGCTTGCCAGCCAAGCACTTATTCTACTGAGCTATCTCCTCAGCCCATGTACCGTGAATTTTCTCAGACTATAATTCTACATAAAGTTTATCTGAAGAACATTTACTTTTGCTCAGTAGTTGTGAGCTCTCGATGGTAGAGGAGAATGGGCATGGAGCCAAATGGATCTCGCTCCTGACACTGCTCAGCCCAGGCCTGAAGCCTTGGGCAGGAGGCTTAGCCTCTCAGAGCTTCAGTGCTCTCGCCAGGAATGTGGGAAAAATTGGGCAGGTGGGACTCCATGAGGGAAGGGCGGAGGACAGCTTATTCTCCTCACCAGTAGTCTTGGCTCTGATACATTAAGTCTCCTTTTTTAGAACTTTACTGTATTTAAAAATTTAAAAATCAGTCCATCTTTTCACTCGTGACTGCTAAGCCTGAAGCAGTCGCTGTTCTCTACAGTGGCTCGGCCTTCTTTCCCCCACACCGATTTGTTCCTGCACTGTACTCCCTGTGATAGTCTTTTATTTCATCATCCATCTGTTCCTTTGAAAAGCCCCTTACTGGCCTTAAGTTTAGGAAAGGCGAGAGATACGAAGACTTGGGCAGTGCAGTGAGAACTGTCGGATGAGAAGGTTGTTCCGGCAGGAGAACTTCCCTGTACTTTATTTATTTATTTGTTTATTTATTCTTTTCTGTATTTTAGGAAAGGGTCTACGGGGTGTTCAGGGTCTCACTACTAGATTGGATTCTTAGTGAGCCGCCTATTTTCAGCCTCCCAAGAACTGGGATTACAGGCTCCACCACTCCCAGTCTCGATTGCTGTCTCAGTGCACACCAGGATGGGGCTGGCATGACAGGCCTGGGGGTCGAACCCCGGCCCCTGTGCCTGCAGCACCTTAATCCCCTGAGCTGTTTGGCTGGCTCTTCCCTGCGCTTTCCGTAGACACAGCCTGAGTTTTTTGCAGCAGCACCCAGGCGGGTGGGTGTGCGGGGAAGCAGCGCTGCCACAGCTCCTCAGGCAGTGTACTGAAACAGCTGCTTCTTCTTTATTTTGTGATACTGAGCTTTGAACTCAGGACCCTGCACTTGCCAGGCAAGCGCTTATTCTCCTGAGCTATCTCCCCGGCCCCTTGAAACAGCTTCTGAACATAGTGAGTTTCTGTGGGACTGGGGCTGACTAATGGGGATAGTAATGTGATTGTAAATTACTTTTAAAACTTTAAATTGGAATTCGAATTGTCTGGATAATATTCAACTGCTACTCCAGGTCAATTTTTTGGGTTTTTTTGTCTTCTGCTACAATTATGCTTGGGTTTGCATGTTTTGCTTTGTTTCTAAACTTGACAGAAAAGATGATCAGCAAAATGAGAAGATTGTAAGCTGCTTACGTCTGAGGTAATTTTTCAGTGTGTTGTAGTGGTCCAAAGCATGGATGTGTTTGCAAACCAAAACATAACACGTGAAGATATTTTGCATGGTATAACAAAGCAGAATGCAAATAGTTACTGAGTTGTAACTCAAGTGCCATTGTGTTTAAATTATAAGCAGTTAGTTACACTCATTCTCTTACAGATCATAAATATCTGACCTGTGGTTTTTGTTTTTGTTTTGTTTTGCTTTGCTTTCTGTTTGTGGTACTAGGGAGTGAAACAAGGGCCTGCATACTGAGCTATATCCCTGGCCCTTTTTTATTTTTAAAATAAAGTATTGCTAAGTTGCCCAGGCTGGGCTCAAACTTGAAATCCTCCTGCCTCAGCTTCCTAGACCCCTAGCATTATAGACAGGCACCCCCAAGCCCAGCATGTTACTGTCTCATGTGCTGTTTTCCATGATCTTGTTATGGTTTGTGTGTATTTGTCTTCCCAAAGCCTCGTACAGTCACGGGGCAGACTTCTAGAGTTTGATGAACTCATGATCCACTGGGATTATGGGTGTGAGTGCTATTCCCAGCTGGGGTGGACAGCCAGAATGCAGCATAAGGGAGACAGACTTGCTCTCTGTTGCCATTGTGGCTGCTGCTCCTCCCTTCTGCTCTGCTCTTTGCTGCCACCGTGAACTGCTGCCCTCTGCCTTGGAGCCAGCCAAGTATGGACTGAAATCTCCATTAACTGTAAGCTAAATAAATCTTTTCTTCCTTCGTTTTGGGTGTTGGGTATTTGTCCCAGCAACGAGAGAGGAATAACCTATGCATTATTTTAAGTGTCCTCTCTCCCACTGACCCCCCATCGTAGATGCTTTAGATTGAAGGCTTTGAAATGCTGACTTATAAGCACATCTAAAGTGTTACTGTGCATCTTCCTAGCAGTAAATGAGAACCTCTTTAGCTGTTTTTCATGCATTTTAATTTTCTGCTGTACCGAAATGAGATCTTGACATTGAGTCTGTGGTAACTAGATTTTACTGTTGCCTAAGTTTCTTGGGACCTCTACATTGGACACTACACTACTTTTTTTTTTTTTTTTTTTTGTACTGGGAATTGAACTCAGGACCTTACACTTACCAGGCAGGCACTTAAGTTGCTGAGCTAGCTCTTGTACAAATTTATTTATTTATTTAGTTAGTTAGTTAGTTAGTTAGTTAGTTACCAGGGCTGGTACTCTGGACCTTGGGCTTGTCAGGCAGCGTTTATGCTGCTGAGCTGTATCCCTGGCCCTTCTAACATTTTAGAATATTAACAAAAAAATTGAGCCAGGCATGGAAGCACATGCCTGTAATCCCAGCACTCTGGAGGGTGAGGCAGGAGGATTGCCAAGAGTTTTATGGCCAGGATGAACTACCTAGTAAGACCCTATCTATAAATAAATAAATAGAAAGAAAAAATAAATGAAGCTTGTTACCATCACTGGGGATCCTATCTGAAGCCTGTGTGTTTGCTGTGTGTGCGCGTACGCATGTGCCCGTGCATGTGGGTGCTTGCCTGGGATGGAGTGCAGGCCTTGCCCGCGCAAAGCGGAGGCTCTGACTCTGCAGCTCATCCTCCTGGAAGGTCTGTGCACGCTGGGGAGCCGGCGAGCTCACACTGAAAGGTAGACATTTCCAAACCTTTAATTTTCACTTGAAACTTTAATTTTATCCTACAGATGGTCAGTTGATTTCTTTGAAGTGAGAAGTCCACTTTGTTGACTTTTTAGCAAATGTCTGGCTCATAACCGAGTCTCCTAAGTGTAGTTTTTCTCCGTTGATTTTTAAATAAAAATGGAGCCTGGGGAACAAAACAGCTAGTTCAGCTCCCATGAGCCCCATGGTGCTTTTGCTCAAGGAGTGCGTCTATTTATACTTTTGATTAATCCTAAAGAATGACAGAAAGTACAGACTCAGTAATAGAGCTAATCGTGTTTGCTGCCTCATCAGGACCTAAGTGGAGTGGTCCACTTTTGCTTCTTGTTGCGAGTGAACGACAGTGAACACAGCACCTTCTGCTTTGGTGCGCAGTGCATGTGCGGGAGCCAGCCCCACTCTTCGCACATCCGTGCAAGTGGAGCGGAGCATGCTGCTCAGGAACGTCTCATTATGCAAACTGCTTGACCTTCCGTGGTCCTCAGAGAGTCCGCAGGCCACACTTGGAGAATTGCTCATCTAGGACGTAATAGAAATGCCATTTGCGAGATGAAGGACATATTAGCAGGAAGAGGGGACTGCGCGGAGCGTCTGTGGCAACTCCTCAGCAAGGGTCTGGACGTTATGTTCAGGAGTGGGGCAGAATACCACGAAACAAAGGTCAGGAGCCACCGTTTCCAGGAGCCACCGTTGCTGCTGTACCGGGCTGGACACGTGGAGTAGGAGACTCTAAGTGCGTCTCCCGCCGGCTGCTGTGCAGGCAGCTTCCTAGATTCATGGTGCAGCGGTACCCTGCCCACAAACTTAATTCTTCCCGAGAGTCTGGCCACAGACTGAATTAGAGGGGAACTGAATCCCATTTCCCCGTAAGGTCCACCTTGATCCTAACCACTGACTGCTTCCGTCCTCCTGGAGAGGGAGCTGGAGTTGGGAGCTTCGCTGCTCGTGCGTTCCCGTGAGGTTGCTGTGTGAGCCCACTGACCCTTCAGAGCTTCATCTTCTGTGTAAAATAATGGGGTTGGGCTAGCTCTGGATGTTCTGACTTCAGGATCAGATACAATCAAGTAGGTGCTGAAAGACCCAAGTTAGCTAGAGACATTTTTGAATTTCTCCTTTTACTACATTCAAGGATTTTTTAAAAACACACCTGTCTTCATCATAGATGATTGCTAGGTGCATACTTGTTGCCTCCTGGCTTGCTGCGATGTTGTCCTTAGCCTCCTCTGATCCAGAAGTATTTTATGTTGCTTCAGTGGTGTTCTGATTGTGTCAGTAAAAATTGTTTTTTTTTTTTTTAATCTGAAGACTTTTCTTTCTTTCTTTATTTTTTTTTTGTGGCAGAACGGGGGATTGAACTCAGGACCTTGTGCTTGCCAGACAAGCGCTTATTCTACTGAGCTATCTCCCCGGC